AAGAGCTTTGACCAAAATTTATAATTATGAAATTGGCCGTATTGAATTCACTGGATGCTGAAGGAAATTATTTTTTGCTGGTGATCGACCTTTATTTTTTGGAGCCGCTCTTGGTGAGCTACACTGCAGCAAACACACAGACATGCTGCGTATATGTGTGTATATCACACACACACACACAGGGTTTAAATGTCAAGTTCTACTGTTGACAAAACTGTTCTCCTTGGGACACGGAGCAGCATTTATTCAAAACACAGCAGTAGTGTGGTCTGTAGGTTAGGGTTGTTGAAGGAGCAGTGAGGAGCAGTGAGGAGCAGAGAGGAGCGACTCTTTCACACTTCCTCTATGATCACTCACATGTTGCTGTGGCCCAATCAATCATTCGTTGTCAGCGAGTGACATTTTGTCTGTGCTTGTGTGTTGATTGTTATCAATATCATGCCCTTCTCTTGTGTGTGCAGGTGGCTGACTGTGACAACCTGCTCACCAATCAGGATGTGTTGTGGAAACTGATGATGGAGAACAAGACCATTGTTGCTCCCATGTTGGAGTCCAGAGCTGCCTACTCCAACTTCTGGTGTGGCATGACTTCACAGGTACTACAGACATGTCCCCACTTACACCTGTTAAAAAGCACATCTCACTGCACAGTGCATATCTGTTGCACCAGGTTTAGATTGGAGGAGCTGATTCACTAAGGATGTGGTGTTTGTATCTGCTTTGACCAATGTAGGAACACTTTTGTCAGCCAGATGGCAAAGATATAAACAGAAAGAACATTTTAAAATACTGAAGAGAGTGATTAGAAATCGCATACAGTACAAAATGAAATGTATATTTGTATTAAAGGGAATTCAATTCACCCACTGTGATGGAGCGGTGGTGAAGTGTTCGAGAGAGGGGTGAACAGCGTTGCAGCCAAATACAATACAATTGAAGTAACTGGTGGCCACTTTTTCAAATGTAAAAATCAATTATACATCATAACAATTAACTACAAAACAAGTTGTTGTATGCACAGTTTGAAAATGTAAAATATTATCTGGAATGTGCAGACACTTGGGTGCACAGTCATGTCGGAATGATTTTGATTAATCAAACTTGCATATCTGATGTGTCACACTCTTGCCGCCTGTGATCTATTTCTGTGTGGGCACGGTGCCTTCAAGGACTCCGCTTTTTCTTCTTTTCAAATCCGAGTCGACATTTGAACATCGTTTTGTCCTCCAGCACAAAATAAACCAACATCCACTGTGTGTCTGCCTCTGATTCCTCCACAGAAATTCATTGACAGATAATAGCGCCTGTAGCCAATAGGGAAGAAGTGTCTTTATCGATCAATATTACTGTCAACTCAATTAATTTAGAAGCAAAACAAGGAGTTCCAGAAATGATGTTTTAAACTGACATACAGTTGATTGATGAACTTTCAGCAGCAGTTTCAAGTCAAATCCCTCAAAAGAAGTTTCCCCGACAGCTCTTTTATTTCATGTGGAGATGATATACATCACGTGTATACTGTATGTCTGTATTTCTACTCAAACCTGCAGGGTTACTACAAGCGTACACCAGCCTACATGCCGATCCGTAAGCAGGAGCGTCGTGGCTGTTTCGCTGTACCCATGGTCCACTCTACCTACCTGGTGGACCTCCGGAAAGAGGCCACCCGTCAGCTGGCGTTTTACCCGCCGCACCCGGAGTACAGCTGGGCCTTGGATGATGTCATCGTCTTTGCCTACTCAGCTCGCATGGCGGGTGAGACAAATGCGGGAAAGACATACTTGTCATCTGGAGGGATTTTTATTTAACGTCTTTATGGAAATACTAAGTTGTGTATGTGTACGCATTTTGTGCCTTTCTGTCCTCTCGTCTCAGATGTACAGATGTATGTGTGCAACAAAGAAGCATATGGGTACTTCCCGTTGCCGATGCGCTCCCACGCTACCCTGCAGGACGAGATAGAGAGCTTCTTGCACACACAGCTCGAAGTCATGGGTGAGTCAAGATGTCAAAGTGGGCGCAGACTGTGATTAAACCTGATCATTGATTGATTGATCCATTGTTATCCCAACAATCTTTCTCTAGTAATCTAATGTGTTTTAAGTATTACTGTATGGATTACAGGATGCGTATAATAATAATTACAATACTCATACAGTAATGCTAAAGCATATATATATATACACCACTGTTTTATCATTTTAAATACAGATTAGTGACAAATTAAAGAAAAAAACAACATATAGACATTATATGGTGTTAGTGCTTCTTATCTCCTTGTCACTTTTAATGACAAAGTGAAACCATGCTTTTTTTATTTTAATGAATGTATTAAAAATCAAACTTCCTGAAGACATTAAATCTTGATAAATGATGACTCTTTTCACCATCATTGTCTTGTACTTGACAGCAAACTGAATGTCTGCAGGTTTTGAGCTCGGTCAGAAAAGAAGAAACATTTAAATACGTCAACTCTGATCCTTGACTAACAATCCAGAAAATAATTAATCAATAATGAAAATAATAATTCTTTGCAGCCGTGCAATGACGCCTTGTACCTTGAATGGAAGCACCTGCATTTGTTTGTATTTTTATTTCAACTCATTTGTTTAATTTAAAGTTAAGTTCAATCATTTAATTCTAAGTTTTTTCTTACATTTGTCGCCCATCTGTACGCTCTCTACATACACACTAATATCAAAGTAGAAGTTAAAGTACGGTTCATTTTCTGGAGCTCCCAGTTGTTCCCTGCACCACAGTTTGGGAAACACATTTAACATTCTCTTTGTGACTTCCTCCCTTTTTTTCCTTTGAAAGTGAAAAATCCTCCACTGGAGCACTCCAGCTTCCTGTCTCTTCCTCCCAAGCAGTCTAACAAGATGGGCTTTGATGAGGTACACACACACACACACACACACACACACACACACACACACACACACACACACACTCACACTAAGGCTCACACAATAACCAAAGCACACGTGTGAGATCTTGTGTTTCTCTTTGCACCCAGGTGTTCATGATAAATCTGGTGCAGAGATCTGACCGTCGTGAGCGCATGCTGAGAACTCTGTACGAGCAGGAGATCAGCTGTAAGGTTGTCGCTGCTGTGGATGGCAAGTACGTTTCTCATCTTGTTTCTCCCCCACTGCCTGTGTCTTCCTGATTTGTGCCTCTGCAACACCGTGTAGATTGATGTAGGGAGGCAGGGCTGAGACAAACAACCAGGTGAACAGAAGCAGGGTGCGTGTTGTCTTCTAAAGAATCCTTGAACACATAGATGAAGCTTGACTGGGGGAAAAATTATTCTAATCTTTATGTAGGTTGTGTTTTACATATTCAATCATATCTTCTTAACACCAGCCTTTTGTATATTTGTATCGTACATTTTGCTGCAGCCTGTTTTCACAAACACACATTTATATAATTTATTGTTTCCATCTCTTATCTCCTCTCTCTCTCAGAGCTCTGAACTTGTCGGAGATCGAGTCTATGGGGATTAAGATGCTTCCAGGCTACAAAGACCCTTATCATGGTCGACCTCTCACCAAGGGTGAACTGGGTTGTTTCCTCTCTCATTACAACATCTGGAAGGAGGTGAGACTCTCTCGTACACGTCCAGGCCTCCAGGTTTAACTGTACATGGAAGATAACGTTTGCTAGTGAAAGGCACAGTAACTCAGTTTGTGTGAGGAAAGGCACCTTGTTTTATTTATCTTTTAATAACTGCACTAGTCTTTTGTGAAATATGTTTTGTAGCAGCTGTTTCTTCAAAAGAAATGTGTTCTCTTTGTATTTTGACTCCAGTATTTTTCAGGGAAGATGAATGAACACAACAGGAACACAAAGTGTACAATGTTGTTACCATTACTTCTCGATTTGTAATAATTTCAATCAAGAGTCCAAATGTTATTATACCCGGAAAGAATTTTAGCACCTTTTCCATCTTCCTTACATTGATCACACTATTGTGTAATCAGGCTCACCAGCTTCTCAGCAGCACTGTCATGCTCTTAATCCATAAGTGTGTGTGTTTTAGATCGTGGACCGTGGCCTGCAGACATCCCTGGTCATCGAGGACGACCTTCGCTTCGAGATATTCTTCAAACGTCGTCTACAGTCTCTCCTGGAGGAGGTGACGACTCACAAGCTGGACTGGGATCTCATGTGAGTCACGCTCCAGTGAGCGGGAGGGGAAAACACGATGTAGTAAACAGAGAGGATTATCATCCCCCTGCAGTGAAATCCGTCCATCTGTCACACATGATATCTCAGACGCCGCTATTCACAGGCTGAAAACACTACTGGAAATAATGCGCCTTACCATCCCACTGCTAAGAGCTTTGCTCCAGCAGTTTCACATTCACAGAGAGACGTGCAAAGAGCCACTGAAATAGAAGCGCAAGATGGGAATACTCCGGAAGTCCTGTTGATTTTCTGCATGTGAGAGGACAGACAGTTTGAGCCCTTTTAAAACTTGGATGGACATGAAACTCCTTCCTCATCTTTTGCATTGACATGACAGCAATAGATAATTTATTTAATTCAACAGCTGAAAGTCTGAAACAATGTTCATCTCTTTGTGACATAGTTTACATTGGACCTAGTTCGTTTTGGATTTCACATTGTACTTTAGGAGGTGAACTAAAGAATTTTGTATGACATACTGTACGTACGTCCTGTCGACATCACCTACGAGGGCTGCGTTTATCTGTACTTGACATTGACTGGTTTGCAGATTGGTGTGTAAATGAACATGAAAATGATTGAACCGGTTCATTTTGTTATTTTGTTGGCACAGTAATATCATTATAGTATCACTAACAAATTCACCAACTTCAGGTGCAGTTCTTGACCAATTTGAATGCAGCTAATGACACATTATATCGTCAGAGATGATATCATCATATTCAAAGACTACAAGCTGCCTCTGCTTTTTTCTTCTGTTGTTGAATGCTGTCTCAACTTCCTGCAATTTTTCTGAACTATCCAAAAAAGAGTTGACACATTCTAAACGATACAAACCATGCTTCCGAGACCACCTCTTTTCATTAGCCAAAATTCTGGTCCATTGATCTGGAGCGTGAACCGAGGCCCCTTTCATTATTATATTTTGATTGAGACTAAACTGAAAAATCAGAAGGTCTGTACAAAAAGATTTAGGTGTTAAAAACTATATCAGCCTTTGTACATTAAAATAGAAGAGTAGAAATCAACTTTGAATTCTAAAGAGGGCTTTGATTTAAAAAGAACTTCACTGAGCTTAACGTTCTGCCACATGCACCACTAGCAGCAATCTGAGGCTAAAAATGGGCTCCTTCCCTCTGCAATATACACAACTTCCCTGAGTCCAATTATCCGCTCTCATAGCTTCTCATATCGCTGCTGCACAGACGACTCAACTACACCTGTCATTCCTGCAGGATGACCCCACAGTCTCGCATGGATGAAGGAATGCTCCCTCCCGACCAATCAGTGTCTCCTTTGTGTCATGTTTGATGACCAGTTATGCCTCTCTCACCATGTTGCATCTGTCCTCCTGGTCGTGTCACTTTTCAGAATACAACACAAGATAAATCAGGCCTCACCTGACTCAGTATGCCACCCAGCAGCCCATGGTTATCCCTCGTGTTGATTACTGCGACACCCCTCTGGCAGGCCTGCGTTCATGCGCAGTGAAACCCTGACAGATGGTCCGAAATGCGATGACAGGTCTCGTCTGCAGTCAATCAGCTACACATGATTTAAATTCGAGTCACTGATGTTTGTCTACAGTTTGACTTCTGGGTCTGCACCTATCTGCTTGAACTCAATCATACAGGCTTATGCTTCTTCTCGGCCACTAAGTCCAGACTTTTCTCAGCTGTGGTGAAACAAGCTACCAAATGTTCAGAACTGGGGCGTCCCTGTCTTTCTACACGAACCTGGTGAAGACTCCTCTCCTCCTCCGACACTGCTCAGACGTGTTAAGAACAGAATGTAACGTATTTTTTTGGGCTGCAGAGATGTTTTTGTTTACAACGCATGTACAGCGGCGTCGTCTCATTGTGAGATATTTGTATTCTTTTTTTCATTTTTGTGTCTTTTTCGCGTGTTAAAGAACATCATCAACACAACCACTTGCTCTTAGTGAATATTGTGGAAGGTCTCCTGCTGTATTCTCCACTTAAATTGTGAAATTCTCACATTCAGCCCGACTGGAGAATGTCCGAAGCTTCTCCAGAGTTCTTTTTGTGCTAGAAAGCAGCGTAACGGTCACTTTCAGTGGACTTCTTTAACTTGTTAATCAGATTTAGCACCGCAGAACTCAGTTCAAGTTCTCCTACTGTTCTGAAGCATTCGTCCACCAGTTGTAAGTGGCTTTGGACAAATTCTGCTGCCAAATGCGTACATGTGAATGAAAGAATAATATTTTATTTGAACATGGTAACACGTCCAGCAGTTTGAAACAGTTTCCTTTTGAGTTTAAGGTTTAGATAAAAACATTTCCAGGAAATAGTTACTTTTTTCAAAAAAAGTTAGGTTAGGTTCATCATTTTTGTACTAATGATATTTAATAATTTTATTTCCTTTGCTCTCACATTCTTGTACAGTTACATCGGACGGAAGCGGATGCAGGTGGACCATTCGGAGAAGTCTGTACCCAACATACACAATCTGGTGGAGGCTGACTACTCCTACTGGACGCTCGGCTACATGTTGTCATTACAAGGAGCTCAGAAGCTCCTCATGGCCGATCCTCTGAGCAAGATGCTCCCTGTTGATGAGTTCCTCCCTGTCATGTATGACAAACATCCAGTGTGAGTATAACCCCCTCTGCCCCGCTACCCTTCATCTTCTCTCTGTTCCCTCTCATCTGCCTTTTCTTTTTGCTTCTGGCCTCAAGCCCTCTTGTTTATCTAATCTTTGTTTCACTCATCAGTTCAGAGTACATGGACCACTTTGAGAGGCGGGACCTGCACGCTTTTTCTGCTGAGCCTCTCCTGGTCTATCCGACCCACTACACAGGAGACCCTGGCTACATCAGCGACACGGAAACCTCTGTGGTTTGGGATAACGAAACGGTCTCAACTGACTGGGATCGAGCCAGGTCGAGGAAAACTCAGGAGCAGGAGGAGCTGAGCTTCGAAGCCCAGAACTCTGACGTGCTGCAGTCAGAACTGGAGAACTGGAGCGCACGGGACGAGCTGTGATGGGGGGTGGGGAGATAAGGATGAGGTAGATGGAAGACAGACAAAGCTGTGATCACATGGGGCGATGGATGAGGAGGGAAGGAATAAAACAGAAAGCAGGAGAAGAGGTAGAAAGGCAGAGCAGACGGACATGTGGCTGATTGAGCATAGAAGCTTTTCCTTGTTCGTTTCTCTCTGTCCACTATTTCATCTGTCTCTTAAGAGAGAAGGTTAGATGTAGTGATTACTCATGTATAGTCAGCAGCTTTTGTTTTATTTATTGCATCCAACGCACATTCCTTGACCACAGTCTGGTCCTTTTAATTATTCCATTATTTTTATTAAACATTTGCTCAGATTTGTCCCAATCGGTATTTTAAATAAATTCCTTCTTAGGTGATTTTACTAAACAAAAAATGCATTATATCCTCTAACATGCCTAGAAATGACTGCCGGTAACATTTCAACGGTCCAGCATAATTTCATATCACTTAAACTTCCCATATAAAAGCTGCAGTATGGTTTGGGTTTGAAATGAGACCACAGAAAAACAATATATTACTTTATTTGGAATAAAACGTGTTTCAGAGTAACTTTTTTTTGTACAGTGCTTTTTCTCTGTGTCATTGGCTCCAGCCTGGCTTTTGAATACTTTGCCTAGAAATGAATGCCTGTTGCAACCTCTCATCACCAGTTGCAAATGTCTGTTCTACCGACAATTACTTCTCCTGATTTATTTTTATAATAATCCTCAAGAAGTAAACTATCCTGTAAATCACAATGACAGACAGAAAAAACTTATTGAAGGTACACTTATTTGTTTTGTCTGCTTTCCTCTTCAGTTGTTCGTCTTGTGGGTCACAAGGGTCCTCACAAGTCCAAACCACTCTGTCTTCCTCATCACCTCTTTTATTAACTACATGCTTTTTAGCTCAAAGTAGCCAGTGTGTTATTTATTATACATTACTTAACCTTCTGTATGTTTTTCACTCGTGAATGTATTAGCGTTTTTACTTTTACACTTCAACAACCTCAGTTTGCTTTAGTGTCTGTATTTTTCAACACGCCTTATGTTGCAGTTTTGAATGAAACTTTATACTTTTGTTGCATTGTGATCAGAAAATGTTTCACATTTTGCTGTAGTGTCTTTCTTCTTTTTCTTTAATGCTTCCTTTTTTTTTAATACCAAAGAGCGAATAAAACCTTTTATATTGAACGTCTTAATAAATGTTTTTCTTGTTCTACAGAACGTCTATAGAAAAGTGAGTGCACTGGAGTAAAGGTACCTCAAAGCTCAGTGAAAAGTACTTGGTCACACTGACTGTAAAAAAAAAGTTTCATTTCAAGATTCATTTCTAGCCAAAGCTCAAGTGGCTGAACATCAAAATACACTGCACCGCCTCTCTTCCTGGCACACAAACAACAGCTCAGTTGAGACATTTCTTTTAATTAGTGCCTGCTGGTGTTTGCCTTCCCTGCCGGTACATAATAGTCAGTTTGCTGCTTATTCGCTGTGTTTACTCAGACGATCCCGGAATGGCTGCTGACCTGTGGAGCATGACTCTGCAGTACCGACTGCATCACTTCCATCATATTTGTGTCCAACAAAGATTTTGTCACTTAATCAGAAAATACATTAAAAATGTTACTCAGTACTTCAAATTATTTTTTAAAAAGTAAACTGCTGGTAATGTTTTCCTGATTCACCATCTTAGTTTAGCACATTAGCCATTTTCTAATTTGCACTAAAAGATATTCAGTACGCTACAGTTGAGGATCGTATACTGTTGAGCACTTGCATGTATTTGACAAATTGAAAATTTGCTCTAATGATTGTATCGGATGAAAAGAATTTACAACTCAGTGAGAACATGAACGTCTTCACCAAAATCAATCACAAACATGTTGGTCTTGATCATAGACTGTATACAGATGTGTCTGCACTGAAATGAAGATAACATTTTTCAGATACATATGCTGCGATCTCTTTTGGAGCCAGTCTGTGCAGTAGCGATCAGGGGATGGAGCTGTGGTATCGAGGTACTACTGAGACACACACTCGACATATAGAGAGTCCCAGCTGTCAATCATGATGTTTCAGTGTGATAAGAACTACCTTAAATAATAGACATTTATTTGACATGTACTTTCACTTTTGAATTTGGTCCATGTCCCATCCACTAACATGGAGGAGGCCAGGTTTATGAGCTGTACTGCAGCCAACCACCAGGGGGCGATCCAGGTGATTTGGCCTCACTTTTGCAAAGCCATTATGTCGTCCATCTAGATTTGCTGTCTATGGTTTTTACAAACAAATTGAATTGCCTCCCATAAACATGAGCATGTCGGGTGTGTGTTTGCTCAAATTCTGTAATGCACAGTATGTGTAGTGTGTCATAGTTGGCTGTTTGTATGTGTGTGTGTGTCTGTGTGTGTGTGTGTGTGTGTGTGTTTCCGTGTAGTCTGTGCGACTCAGACTAATCCCTTCAGATCTCTCTTTCCTCCCCACCTCTATATTTACCTCACCCCTCTCTGAGATTAACCCCGGCGTTTTCTGCAAGTGCCTCGGCAGATCAATTGCCACTTCTCTACAGTTGGACCTTCTGAGTTTTACTACAACCAGCTCCACTTAAACTATCGACTGTCTCAGTTCATTTCCTTGACGCTCTGCATCCTGGCTGTCAAACCACCTTGATAACAGGATGCAAAGGAATCATTATCACACTCTGAGGGCTAGAAGAGTGACATCAGTAATTAGCGAGACTCCAACTAGCTGCATTAGAGCAGGATAAGTTAGGAGGGCTCACTTGAAGCTCACACAAAACACATCTCCTTCCTATCTTCCTATGTTTGTGTTCTTCCATTTGACCTACATGTCTGTCCTCGCTTCACAATCCAATTTGTCCTCTTCATCCATCCTTTGCGTCCCCTCCCTTCTCCTCATTAAGTAATAAGATTGTTGCTGTTGAGCTGGAGTTTTAAGGCCTACAGACACACACACACACACACACACACACACACACACACACACAGGAGCAGCAACCTCTGCCCCTGAGTTACAGCCCTGCCACACCTCCAGCGATCTATAATCTCTCTCAGTGGACGACAGTGAGCAGTGTGAAGATAACTCGGTGCTGAAGAGGCAGTGAGAGGTGTCACTTAAATAACAAAGTATTTAAAGGAAGACGGCAGACGCAGAGAAAGAATGCAATGGCATGAAAGAGAGAAGAAACTCTGGACATATTTCTTTACCTGTGGGAGTTGAGGAGTTTCAAGGTGAGGTAAATTATTTTTGGTGTATTCAGCTGCCACTGCACCTACACAGACTGATGGGCTGTTAAATTAGCCACTAACAAAACAAGGCAGCATTGGTCGTATATATCTGGTGCAATCGATCAGCTTCAAAAAGTGAAGCGGATGATTGTGAAATAACGTCTCCAAATGTAGGATTTAATCACTGACCTTTCCAAGTCTTACAGTAAATCCTCCTCTCTTTTTTTTCTCCAGTTAGGGTCCAAGCGCTGCTCAATTTCAAACATATTTCTCCTACATCAGCCTTGGAAGTTTCAGTCCAGAGCTGCAGTCTCAAATAGATCTGGCACAGCTCAGAGCCAGAGAGCCAAAACTAATTTGCGAGGTTATCGCTGTCAATTCTCGGCCTGCAGCGACTGCAGCGACAGTGAAATACAGGCTGGCCGAGACAGATAAAGCACATTTCTCAGCTGTTGAGGCCTGAACTTTATTTCTAAAGCTGAAATTTATTTTAGATGCAGTTTTTTTGTTCTGAACCATAAATCTCCTCTCAGAAAACACAGTCTCATAAAAGCCTTATTCATCCCGGTTAGCTGGTTGTGGCTGGGCTGCAGTGTTGTTGTTAGATTATGATTATTTTTGTCTAGAAAAAAACCTGAACTAGATGTCCTTCAGTCGGCCGCAACATCAATAAGTCAGTGAGCAGCATCAGTGAATTGAATATAAGGCCAAAATGTTTTTACTGAAAAATAGAGAAGGTTACATTTGTGGA